CAGGTGCCCGGGACGGGCGCGCGGGGAGCGGAGCTGAGGCCGGGGCCCGCCCACCGCGGGCCGCGTGCGTGAAGTCATCTCCGTCGTCACAATGGGCAACACCTCCCTCCTCCCAGGCTTCCCGCGCGGCCTTTCTCCTTAAAAGGACAATGGGGCGCGCAAAGCGAGAGGGCTCGATTGAAGAGAATGGAGCCGTGGGAACGGCGCATGCGCAGAGCGGCGGAGGGGAGGGGAGGGGAGAGGAGGGGGCGCGGGCTCGCGCGCCCGCGCGGGCTGGCAGGCAGAGCGCGGAGGGACGGGGAGGGCGCGCAGCGGCGGGGCTTCGCCGCGCACCGCACGGTTGTTGGTGGGCGCAGTAGAGCGGTGAGTGATTTATTTTTCTTTCTGCTTGGGGGGGAGGGAGAGGAAAGCAAAGTACACCCGAGAGGGAACGGGAGGTTTAAACCGTGCTGGGTGGTTTTTTTTTCGTTTGTTGTTTGTGTGTGTGTGTGTTGTTGGGGGGGGTTGTTGGGTTTTTCTTTGGTTTGTTTTTTTTTTTGCAGCGGTCGGTGGTTTGTGTTAAACACAAGTTAATCCCGGAGCCTGTCTTCTCTTCTGCCGCGGTGAAAAGACTTTGCCGCCTGAAACAGTTTGACACGCATGGTTCCTGTGCGCGGCGTTTTCCCCCTTTTCTCCAATTAGTGGAGTTTAAAGGAGGTGCTGGCGGGGAAAAGCGCCTCCCGCATTGTTGCAGACCCATCCCGAGAACTCTGACTTCCCCCCCCCCCAACCCCAAAGTACGATTTAAAACCCCAAGTCTCAAGGAGGAAGCGCAAGCCGGGTTCCCGACCCTTTAACTCCAAAAGCGGTCCCCAGCTGCGGGGCGGCTTAGGGAAACCGGTGTTGTCTGGCGGTGACGGGCTGCCCAGCCTCGCCACGCGGGCAGCGAGGGACCGCCGGTCCCGCCGGGAAGGGCGGCGCGGCCCCGCCGGCCGTGCCTCGCCGGTGCGGAGCGGGTAGCGCAGGTGCGGCCCCCGGTGCGCCCCGCACACCTGTAGCGCCGGCGCCCGCAGGTGGGTGCCGGGGGGGGGGGCACGGTGGTGCCCGCCATCCCTCTGCACCCCCCCACTACCACCCCGTGTTTCACGGCGGGGAGAGAGATGGGTTGTTTTTATTTTTTAACGATCGCTAGTAGGTGCGGGAGGGGTCGGGGTCTGCGCCGAGGCGGGGGGGGGGGAAACGGGCGGCCGGGGGCCGGCGTGACACGTGCTTGCCGGTCGCACCGGGTCGCGGCGTGGGGGCCTTCCCCCGCTTCGGCGGGCGCCCTGCCACCGGCCCGCTGCGCGGCGTTGCCGGCGTTGGGGGGGACGCGGTGCGGCCGGGCGGCGATGGCGTCCTTGCCGCTCTCGCAGCACGGCGGGAGTTGCGAGTCGCTCCCCGTCAGCGTGTGCCCGCGCCCGGCGCCAACAAGTTTTTAACTCCCGGGTTTCCGCGGGGTTTCCGGGGGGGGGGGGGTTGCGCGGAGCGGCCGGCGTGCCCCCGGCGCCGCACGTAGGCAGCGCCCGGCTGCAAGGGGAAAACAAAGGGCTCGCATGTGCTGCGGGCGCCGGGGGGGAAAGCGCTCGTCCGCACGGGGCGGGGG